TGGGGCAAAGCTCAAGCAATGCAGCCAGGCCAAGAAGATCATATGTCGTATACCCAGTTTGTAGCTCTAAATGTTTAAGATTGTACAGCAGAAAATCTTTAGGAAAAACATCCTTGGGTGCAAGCTTTTTGAATCAGCATCATGCAAGGAAAGCAATCATATGAACATTTCATAAGATGATCAATTTAAAAACAATTTTGAGCAGCCACTCTCAAGTTGCTCATAACATAAGAGTAAAAGTTGTTAATAGTAGAATTTCTTCCTGTCAAGAAAACCACTTGGAAATAATGATTGATGTTTGAATCAAGAGGAAATTAGCTGCTCCAAACTAGAGGTAAAGCAAATTGATCACAAGAAAAGAATATTTGAAATTCAGTATATTGTGACGGTGCTTTTTCTATCTAAACACGAAAAAGTTTTTGACAATACTACCACTGGCACTCAAACTTATCTTGATATGCAAACATGGCTTTCCTAGCAATCCTTTTCTTGAATTCTTCAGTCTTCAGTCTTAAATTGCTTAGCAAAGCATTTGTAAAGAGAGGCCCTTTTCACTACTTTGTGCAAAGAATCTGATAACCAAACATGTTATACAAACAGATTCCATACAGTTTCCTTGACTACCGGCCACAAGAACAAGCACTTGCTTCACACAGTGAATCCGTAGTTTGCAAAGAAGGATGATAGAATGGAAGAGAGTTGTTAAAATGTTAAATGCACAGCCTGCACATCACTAATCCTTGACATCTGGTTACTCAAAGGACATATTTGAGCATTAATAACCATGTGGTGAGCTTTAACTTAAGAGTTCATTTAGCTGTTTGGGAAATTAATTCACAGACGAAACCTCACAAACCCATCCCTAATCAGTTCCTTTAACGTAATCAAAATATCTATCCAGCACAGAACAAACCTTGAGTGTATACACAGTAGTGATGATGAACAAAAGATTTCGTGAAAATCTCAAATGAAACCAAGCCTTACCAATCCCACCTATCTCAAGCTTTCATGACAAGCTAGGGGACCTTATTCTTAGTCCTCCCTCCACGTTTAGAAAATGCATTTTCCCACACAATCACGTCTAAGAAAAACCAAAGGCTCACTTCTGAAGCATTTGAAACTTACGAAAAACAAGAAAAAACGAATCGCTAACCTTTTACATAAATCAACATTGCTACCGACGCAAACATTACACAATTAAATCAGAAATGAACACAAACCCAAAAATTGCAGAGCAATACCTTGAGCCACCAATTTTGCACCACGAGATGCTTGATGTGTGCAATTCGATGAAGCTGCTTCACTACTTTACACCACTGACCATAGTACTCCAATCCATGCACAATAAAAGTATGAAACTCGACCAAAGAAGACAAATTTTTAACACAAAACTGCCCCATCTCAAAGCAATCAATATTCAACCAAACAAGATTAGGACAATCAAGCTCCAAATGCAATTCCCTCTCAGCAGTATAAAAACTAGAAAGATCCAGCCTTTTCAACTTCTCTGAACAAAGCCTCAAATTCTCCATCCCATAACAATCTTCAAACTTTAAAACCTCGATATTAGGACAAGCTTTGAACAAATCCAAAACCATGTCATCAGTCATATAAACCTGATCAAAATAAACCTCATTCATTGACCAGAGATTCATACTTTCCATATTAGCAGGCAATGTCAAATCACATCTACACAACTTCAAGACTCTAACTTTACTGTTTCTAAGAGCAGAAAAAGGGAAATCATAATTGGGTTTTGCTGCTGGTTCAAAAATATGAAAACTTTTATCAATAAAGAAATCAAGATCAAGTTCTAAAACTTGGTTCTTGATTGCATAACGTACCCATGAATCAACATGGTACCCATACCTATCCTCATAGATGAATTCAAGCCTGAATTTTTTAAGGGGCAACTGGGGTTTGAGAATTAGTGTTCGGTCAATGAATTCTGAAAAGAATTGCCGGGTTGTGGAGAAATTGTTGTAAGGAGGGAAATGAGTGTAAGAGAAGTTTAAATATGGGACTGAGGACCAAAGAGTTTTCCATTTTGTGGAAATAAGGCTTGTTGTGATTGTGTCTAGTGTGGGAATGAAAGAGAGGATGTGGATCAGGACGTCTTGTGGGAGATCGTTAATGTTCGTGACTGTTGTGGCGGTGGCGGTGGCGTCGGCGTCTGGCTTTTCTTCCATTTTGTTGTTTTCAAGATTCCGAAGAGACTCCTTGAGCGGCCATGTAACCGCAACAGTTTGGGTGACTAACGTCGCGTCTTCTTATTTTTAAAGGTTAATTGTATTTATTTGGTCCTTGTAGTCTTGATATTTGTTTAGTGTGCTCTAACTACACTTTTTCTATTTTAATTAGTCCCTCTACTCATGAAAATTCGTTAATGTAGTCCCTCTATTGAATATCCATTTAATTTACCATTTATCCTTGATGTGTGGCTTCACAAGGTGGAAACAATTAATTGTGAATTGGACAGAAGGACCACATTAAAAAAATTTCAGAGTATATGATTTCTTAATGAATATTGGATCGTGATCTTATGTAACCCATCCTATATGTATTTTCTATTAATACACTAGTTTATTTCTCTCTCTTTTTTAGGATTCTTAAGAAGCCACGAGTTATACTAATCTCTTTCATTATATATTTCTATCTTATTTTAAAAAAAATATGAAAAAGTATATATTACAATTTTATCAACAATATTACTTACTTGTAATATCTTGTTGGTGAAAATATCATGCAGTTAATAAGTTAGATATATTTAATAGTGATTTTATTCATATAAAATATATTTATTATTAATAAATATTTTTTTATCTTGAATATTCAATTATATTTAATTAATAAATTTATGTTTGATTAATGAATTTAGAATAAAAATAATGTTAATAAAATAAAAATATTTTATATAAAAAATTATAAACACCGCGCTCCGCTCGCGAGGGTGCGACAATAATTATAAAATTTTTATTACAAATATATTATTTTTAAATACTCTGGTTAATATTCTATTAAGATTATACATTAATAGTTGAAATTGGTGTATATCATATCTCTTTTTTATTGAAATGAAGTAATTATTTTGATAAATTAAGGTAGGATAGATCCCTAAAACTAATATATATATATATATATCAAATGATATGTATATTAAATTAACTAACAAGATAATTACATATAAAGAGATTATTTATGTTTATAAAAGTCTCACATAATAATTTTATAAATGATTTTTAAATTTAAAATTATTAAATTATGTTATATTGTCAAAGTTATATTTTAATTTTGACCACTTGTTATTCCAATTAAAAATAATAAATAGATAAATATTAGATATAATATCAACTATAAACTATAAAGATATTATAAAGATATTTAAATGACGAAGATACTGGATAATGCATAAAAATAAACACTTCATTAGGTTTCGGCACCGAACCCTTTTTTATTTTCCTAGCTATTACTTCTCCTATTAAGCTTGCTGGTCATCTTGCTGTTGAGGAAAATAAACAGTTGCAAAAAGGAAAGGATGACAGTCGAACAGATAAAGTAATAAGATCAGTGGTTTTATTTTGGCCTTCCACCGCAAATTCGAGTCCCACAACCTACTAGCTACACCGCAATGCAGGTACATCCTACAATCTATAAGACCTTGACGGAGTTTAAGACATCATCAAGTTGGAGTTGGAAGACTATGCTACTGCGATACAGTCTATTAAGTTTGGTAGGGCATGGACAGAAGGCACAGATCAAGTGTATTCTGACCGATCCATGACCTCTCCATTCTTGCTCGAGAACCCGTTGGAAAGTATGTGTTAAAGCTTGAAAACCTATGGAAAGTAAATGAGAAGAATGGTTCTAAAGGGTTAAATCATAACACTGATGGTGTTGGGAATGAAAGTGGAAGAATGATCAGGACCAAATTATAAAAGGAAAGGTTGGAAAACACAGCTCTTTATTTATATCAAAAGTCACAACTTTTGGTGGAAAAAGCAATCTCTAACACTGATATAAATAGTCATAACTTTTGGTGGAAAAAGCAATCTCTAACACTCCGAGCGAGAAACCCTAAACAACAACCCATTACAGAGCCGAAAACCTTGAAAACACCAGTAGTTTTTAGAGGAAATTAAGTTGTTTTACTTTATAGTCGGACTCTTCAGTAATCTTGAAGGAAAGTTAGTGACGAGGCTGGAAAAATTCTCAGCAAAAAGATTGGAGGTGCTTTCTGTAGCTTGATAAAATTCTCAGTAATCTTGATGGAAAGTTAGAAATCCCAATATGAAAGGATGGGTCTGTGGTTGTTACCTAATGTCGAGTTTCTGTTGACGTTTTCGGTGTTTCTTGACAAAGAAGCTACTGTTATTAATAGAGTTCCATTCACTGCAAACGCACTTGCATTGGGCAAGAGATTTGTGAGGGGAGCCAGAGAAGTAAGTTGAAAAGTACTTCTCTGGGAAATTGCTGCTTCATCTTTCTGCTCTATGCCATGGTGGAATTTGTGCTGAGACCTGGAGCACTGCAAATAAGCTTTTAATTTTATAAATAAAAGTAAATAGAGAAACACTTCATCATGAAGCTAGTGGCATTAGACTAGTCGCATGTTAGAGTTTTGTAACTCAATCCCAAAAATAAACCAAAGAAAATGGTTGAAGATAGTAATTGATTTCTATTGAAATTAAAGGCTTATTAGAGTATTAGGGTACGTGACCATATGTGTTTCAAAACAAGTAATTTAATATATTTATATTCTAGTTAATATTTATTGATTAAAAATCATAAATATCTATACTTTATTAATCGAGTTTCATGCGTCTATTTAGATATTTATTACCTCATAGTTTTTTTATATTGGTTATAATTAAGTAATATATATAATTAAGATGTGCATACATGTATTAAATAATAAAATAATAAATGGTATACTTATATGACTGTATTAATGGATTTTGGAAACATAAATGTTACACACACACACACACACATATATATTGATAAAGTTTCATATTTATTATTCATGGAATAATGTTACACCGCCGCACATCAAACGAACTCTGTATGCATGTAACATCCCCAGGCAAGCCGCAAACAAGAATAGCCCTCCACTCTCTATTTTGCCGACCCCATATCTATTTTGTAAGTTAAGCAACAACCACCACAAGCTTTGAATCATATCATAGAGACAGTTTGAAAAACAACACTTTACTCCCTCAGTAAACTCTTAATTTCCCTCCTCTTTCCTCGACCACTGAACTTCTTAGAGATCCAAGTCAAAAAACTTAAAACATACGAGTAGGGAAACACTCATAGAAGCCAAATGAAGCAAAGTTACCATATCTCTTTGGAACTTTATTTCCCTGCAGCCGCTCCTTATTTCTTGTTATCATGTCATCCACTTTTCCAAGTACCAGTACCTCCCACCATGAGCACCCAACCCAGAGAATTTACCAACCCTCCAGGTCTTATTAGCATTAAATACTGGATTTCCTACGTGCAAATAATGAATATAGGAGCTCGATTCATCTGCGTGTAGCTGCACCTTGTGAAAACACTTCTTTTTGGCAGAGAGTTGAATTGATTTCTTCCCGCCCTTTCTATTGCTACTTGAAGCGTATGACAAAAACAAATGTGAACAAGCAGTTATACAAAACACGTAAATTAGTAACCATATATCAGGTGTTAAAAACACTAACCATAGTATCAGACAAACACAGTTCCACATAAGGTGGAAGAGAGTGGTGGGATTTGATACTGTGATATCGGTCAAATGGAGCATAAGTGGGAACCACCTTCCGAGACAGTCTGCAAATACAGAAGGTTGTTATTGTTCAGATGAAGCACACAGCTAAAAGCTAAAAGCAGCCCTTCTATTTGGGAGTGCAAACTCCATGCAAAGCTAAAAGCAGCCCTTCTATTTGTTCTTAAAGCTCGCAGCAACTATGTCAATGAGAAAATCTGCAAGTTATTATGTCAACCAAAAAAATGCCATTTGACTTGTGAAGATTGGAATAAAAATAATGACTTAGCATTCTGAAAAAGGGTAAATGGACCAATTCATATGCATCAGAATATAGATGCCAGTGACACGAAAATTTCATTTCCACTCAGGTCTATGATCATGAAGAACAAACAGCACAGTGAATCACTTTTATCACATCCAATAATGTCATATAGACAACAGAAATTCCATGTTTAATACAGCACTAAATAAGTCAACAGTCACTGGCCAAAGAGCATTGCATAACTCCACTTCCCCGTGTTCCAAAAAGGTTGATTAGCCCTACCAGTACACTCTGACTAAGTGATCACCTTAAAAGCAATGCAATGTGCCATTTTCCCACAAATAGTTTAATAGATTTAATGATTTTTCTATTCTGTTAACTAACAATGATCAAATATGATCATCAACCAACATGCACCAGTGCTTGAGAAATTTGAAGGATTGCATTTTAATAAATCTCCAAAGTTTTCCTTTCATTCGACAATATTATCAAGAAAAATAGTAAGAAATAATTATAAAAATTACATGAAGAAAGGAGGGGGAAATCACTAACCAAGCTTCTGGGATAAGCTCAAGATTTAGCCATTCTTGTCACCAATAATCTCCACAGGAACAAGCTCCATCCTTAAAATGATGGAAACGAATTGCATCCCTGACAACTATCTCCCTACTTACCAGCTTTGAGATGAGCTTGATTGCAGCATGACAGTTGTCGCATGCCCGAAGATTCTTTGATATCCTAAGGGTTGTTCCAGGGGGAGTACTGATGAGGCCATAAGCAATCGCTAGTCTTTCACTATGATTACATAGTGTCTCCTCTGTTTCCTCATAATTCAAATCATGCAGGACAGATTCTGTATGGGGGACAAATCCAGCTTCCTTTAATCTTCTCTCTAAATCCTCAATTTCCACAAAAATCTCTTTGGATCTTGGATGCGTCTTATCTCCAGCCTGAAATGCATGGAGCTTTCCATTGATCTCAATCACACTATAACCAAGGTGCTTAGTAAGTCCTTTCTCCCTCATTAACACCCGTACCTTTGCAACACAATCCCATAAGCGAGAAGAAGCATAGAGGTTTGACAGCTGAACACAATGCCCCGTGTTGTATGGATCTAATGAGAAAAGTCGTTCAGCTGCATACTCCCCTAGTGTCACATGGCGATGGATCTTGCATGCACTCAAAAGGGCTCCCCACACACTTACACCTGGTTCAATTGGCATGTTCATGACAAAATTATAAGCTCGATCTAAATGGCCTGCACGCCCAAGAAGATCCACCACACATGCATAGTGTTGGTGCCTTGGTTCAATCCCATAATCTCTCATGCGGTGGAAGAGGTCCCAACCTTCTTCTACAAGACCTGAATTTTTGCACGCTGTGAGGAGCCCAACAAAGGTGACATCATTTGGGGGCACCCCAGCTTGCCTCATTGCATGAAAAAGAATGATAGATTCCCGACCTTGCCCATGTAATCCATATCCCACCATCATCACACTCCACACAACAACATCTTTATCTGGTATTCTGTCAAAAACAAAGCGAGCCATATCTACACTTCCACATTTTGCATACATGTCAATGAGGGAAGTATTGACAATCACATCATTTCTAAACTCACTCATGCTGATATACTCATCCATCCATCTTGCTAATTCAAGAGAACCTATTTGTGCACAAGCTGCAATGCTAGAAGTCACAGTAATAGAATCTGGTCTTATATTTTTACTTTTCATTAGACGGAACAGTTCAATAGCTTCCTCGGCATACCCATTTTTCATATAACCAGAAATCATTGCATTCCAAAATATCAAACTTGGATTCTCCACCTGGTTAAAAAATAATCTAGCAACCATAACGTGCCCACATTTTGCATACAAAGAGGTAAGAGAAATGAGCAAATCAAATTCACATTCAAGTCCCATTTTAATCACGCAACCATGAATAGATTTCCCATGTTCAAAATCCTCTACATCTGTATATGCTCTAAGAACGCTCACAAGCGCTATCCAATCTGGTCTCACATTTGTTTTCCTCATTTCACTAAAAATCCGCAAGGCTTCAATAGGCTGTCCATTCTGCGCATACCCAGAAATAATCGAGGTCCAAGAAACAATAGTCCTATCAACTAGCCTACCAAAAACAGCATTAGCTCGCACAATCTCTCCACATTTTGCATACAATGCCACAAGACCGTTCTGCACAAACACATCCGATTCAAACCCATGTCTAAATATCTGCCCATGTACCCTCCTCCCCATTTCAAGCGCCGGCAAGGCACTGCAAGCTTTGAGAACACAAGGAAAACTGAACCCATCAGGACTAACACACGCAACTTGCATTCTTGCATACATTTCAATAGCATGACCAAAGAAACCATGCCTAGAATAACACCTAACAATCGCATTCCACAAAAACACGTCTGGGTCAGGAAATTTATCAAACAACTTACGTGCACAGCTAACTTCTCCTATATTCGAAGCCTTGTTAACCAATTTTGCTATCAAGAAACCACCATATTGCAGCCCCGTTACTAATAACTTAGCATAGATTTGGTTCAAGTGGGTTTTGTGTATCGAATCATCGATTAATGACGCGTAGAATTTGTCAGGTTTGAAGGAATTTTCATTGGAGTCATCCTTCTTGTTGTTGAAGTGTGTTGTTAAATTGAGAGATGAAGAATAATGGGTTTCGAGGAATTTGAGAGTGGAGGCGGGAAATCTAAATCGAGGAGGATCCAACGGTCGAATTTTAAAGGGCTGGGGACAGAGAGCAATAAAAGAGAAGACTTTGTTTGGAGGCCTTGTAAGAAATGGCAGAGACTTAGCCATATGCTTGTCTCTGTTATTAGCTTCAAGAAACTAGCAAAGCAAAGTGTTAGTGCCTGCTAAAGACTTCTCATGTGACAAACCAAGTAGGCAAATATTATTTGTATTGATGAAGCAAAGTTTTCATACACAGTTTTTTAAAAATATTGAGCTTAGAATATTCATTTAATTTTTTATTTGTTACTTAATAAGATACTTTAGCATTTATTTAAAAAAATATTTTTTTATTTTAATTTCACACTATTAATTAGGAATGTATCCATGTTTTTTTTTAATTATTTTTTATAAGATTATTGTAACTTGGTTAGACTTTAGGTTTTTTTATTATTTTTTATAAAAATTTCTTTATTTTTCAGTTATATCGTATTGAATTATTTAATAATTAAATTTAATGATTTTATTCCATCTACTTTTATAATTAAGTTATATATTTAACATCTTCACCTAGTTGAAGTTGGCATAGGTAGTTTTAAGCATATGTTGGTTAAAATTTAAGTATTTTTTATGTTTTTAAATTTTTTTATATTAATATTAAAAATATATTTTAAAAAAATATTATTTTAATATATTTTAACAAAATAAATATTTTTATAAATAACCGATACCGGACTCTTTAATATCCTTAGACAAACAAAACTCAATTACCGAACATTCTTTAAAGGTAACTTTGGTCACATGAAACGACATCGTACCAAAGCAAACAATAACTCCACTGTCATGTCCGAAGCTCTCTTATCTTGATCCCTCTTTCCTCTTCTCTATCATCGTCAACGATGCATCAAAATCAAATCTTACCATTTTTTCTCTTCCATTAAGAAAACCAAACCCAAATGGAGAAACACGTAGAAAACTTCTTAAACAAAGTCTCATTGGTTTTTATAACCATAGCCACAATCACCCTTCTTTACCTTTACCTTCATACCCCAGAAACATGTATCCCACCAAACACACCCATCACAAAACCCCACCTCAAATTTCCTTCTTCTACATGTGACCCTTCTTTAAACCACCCTTACATTGATCCTACCAAGAAAAGACTGAAACTTTGGTCCTCAAAATCTTGGCTTTCACAAGTCTCTTCTTTCTCAATTTTCTTTCAAAGTTTGAATCTTTTGAACAATAAAACCAAAACACTCTGTGTTTCAGCTGGTGCTGGACATGAAGTGATGGCATTGAATAACATGGGTGTTAGTGATGTTACTGGTGTTGAGATAGTGGATTCTTTGCCATTAGTTAAAAGGGCTGACCCCAATAACTTGCCCTTTTTTGATGGGGTTTTTTATTTGGCTTTTAGTGCTCATTTAGAAGAGGCTTTGTTTCCATTAAGGATTGTTGGGGAGATGGAGAGGACCGTGAGGAATGGTGGGGTTTGTGTGGTTGTTGTAAAGGAGTGTGGTGGAGAGGAGGTGGATGCAATTGCTAGGTTGTTTAGGAAGTCTATGTTTGTTGGGGCTGAGAATGTTACATTGATTGGGATGAGGATGTCCAGGATTATTATGAGAGTTGGCATTTATTCTTCTTCATGATTTTCTTTGGTAATTATGCTACTTGTTTATTGATTTGATTTGATTGCATCAGTTTGATGATTTTGACAATTACTGTGGTTTTCTTCTGATAATGAAAATTAGTAGTCTTTGTTGATACTTATCCAAAACTGAAACTTAATAATCTTTGGCAAATAGCAATGGATGTGGAAAATTCATTTGGGAAGAAAAATTCTGAATATGTTCATGACTTTTGTAGACGTTAAGATTGGAGAAGTTAGTTTCTGTATGTTTCATGTTTCTTCACACTCTTGCAGTGGCTCAAATGGTATCAGTTCTGAATCTAACTAGAGGGCTTCTTTATACATGAATTGTATTTGTGTCCTTGTTCCTCAGAGTTGAGAATCAGGAGACTGCAGTGCTGGTTCTTTTCTTAGTTCAGTAACTGCACTGTGATTTTATTATGCCATCTGCTTTATCTTGCATCTTTTGTGCTGGTTTTTTATATATGAAAACGAAACTAACAATTATTAACATTTGTAATTGGATGTGCATAATTAGTATGACTAAATTTAGATATAATCATAACATTGTATAGATGAATTGATATGATTTTGTTGGTTTACTAGTTGGTAAGTAACTTTGTCCTGTCCAAATTGCTTTTCTGTAGTTTTCTGTGCCAATCAAAGAAAGGCTGCAAGAGGCATAATTACTGTTTGCCCATGAAAAGGAGCAAATTGAGAGTTGGCAGGGACACAATATTTCCATTGATGATCAGCAATATGTTTTGAATGAAGCTCGGCTGTTTACCTGTTTTAGGGCTGTTGGGAAACGTGGTTAAATTTATGTTTTTAAAAAATTTTATTTTTTATTTTTATTAAAATTTAATATGATTTATACATTATCTTTTGATATGTTAATGTTAAAAGTAATTTTAAAAAAATAAAAAAAAAATTATTAATATATATTTTGATATAAAAAATTATTTAAAAAAGAAATGAGTTTGACAGTGGAGGAAGTCACAATTAGCCATTAAACATCTAATTTTTCAGAGGTATGGAGGTATGGGGCACTTAAGTGTCAGATTTATGACATCGCACTCACTCGAAGTGTTCCTAAAATGTGCAGTAAGATTTTCGTACAGAGTTCTGATATTGTTTGTCGTTGAATATATTCATGTAGTACATACAAGGCAGGCATTTAGTTTTGCTTCCATGTCCAATTTTCTTCAAGATTCAATATTAGGTTGCACAGAAAAAGCAAGTCTCCTGTAATTCATTGTAGATTAACGTGTTTCTTTATAGTTTCATTATTGAAATGACGGTATTTCGAAGACTAAGTTGCTGTGTTTATCTGTGTCTTTACCATCTTTACCCTGTATTTTTGTTTCTGTGTTCTGTTCTGCTAGAACTCCATCTTCACGATCCTCGCTGCTCTATTCGCCAGCGCTTTGCACCTTTTAAACCTTTCACTGAGCCAAGGTTTTTTCATTAGCACCAAACCAGTAATTGATCTCCGAAATGAAAATCAATTGGGTTAAGTTGAAACAACCAGCTGAAAGTTTTGTTTGGCGTCAGATAACTTTATTCCAACCCATTATATTAAGAAGCCTCAGAAGTTTGTAAACCTGTCAGCACCTGACTAAACATGGTCGAATTAACAGCTACGAATACAATGAAGTGTTCATATCAAAGCTCAACACACTAGAGCTGACTTAGCTAACAAAAACTGCATAAAGGTATTTCTTACACCTAGGGGGTGGAGCAACAATGGAACTATCCTATCTGGACTGTGCATCAAAAGCATGGATGAACAGAAGGCTTATCAACAAGTACCATGAAGCTAACCCGCTATCTTGATGCATTAGGAAATTTAGCCATCTTGAAAGCTCGAGTAATCCCATGAACTATGAACTCCTTGGATGAGAAGATTTCTGGTGTTGCAATCTCTACTCCGTCAATGGCCAAACCCTGTGTAACATCAACACCTTTATTAATCTCAAGATCTTCACCAGGGAGCAGCGTCCTCAGCCGTTGTTTATCTGGCAATGCAGCAAGTTCTATGTACGTAGCCCTTTGAGGCAGTATGTGCAACCTCACAATCTTCTCAAGCATTGGTGATGAAGATGCCACAAACTCAAGTTCTGGAGGAGCAAAGATTGTTACAGAACTCAAGTTCTTGTGATCGGCAAGAATCCTATCAAGAACAGAATTCAATCCAATTGCAAATGACACGAATCTGTGGGAGCTAAGCAAATGGATAATCCTGGTCCATTCCAAAATGATCCTGGGGGCATTAGCATCTGAAACTAAACTGGAATTGGCATCACAAATTGGAGCTTGAATAGACTCCCATCCAAAGTAAACATCTTTAGACCTCAATGATGAAAATGGTGCAAGAACACCATGAATTGCAATCCTTCTTTCAAGAACCATGTCAGGGTGAGATACTAATACATGATTGATCTCTGCCAGTCTTTCTTTTGCATCAATCTTGGTTACAGCAAGTTTCTTTCGATCAACAAGTGTTGGGAAGCAACTGCCTTGAGGTTTCTTGAAGACATCCTCTATGGATAGTTTCAAAGGAGAGGTGTGGTATTGAAGGAGATTTTTCAAGAACCAGGGAGGGAGAGAGGTGTTAACGAGGGAAGAGTCTTTAATGGCAAAGATGGTTGTGTTAGGAGATACAAAGAACATTTCAGGGGAAATCGAGAGAAGGGTAGCCATGATATTGAACCCGGATTCCCTTAGAGTTCTTGATGCATTCAATGAGAGGTAATTGCTTGTTGGTCTGGTTGGTCTCGTTGCATTGTTGGATGGTGAATTCAGTGCGGTGGAGATTGCTATGAATGCCAAGACTGCAGAGGCAATGAAGTAGACTGGTGCATGCCACCAATGGGAGCAAGAAGCCATTGATCTGCAGGGAAGTTCTTGGTTGAAGAAGAGACTGGGAGAGAAGGTGGTGGCTTTCAAATATGGGTTAAAGACGCGTTTGTTATCATTTGTGCTTCATTTCTAGGGCCTGTCATTGTGGCCTGAACCGTAAGCCCTTAGAGACTAAACCTGCTGCATTTGATTCCACTCCCTTTTCAGTTCATTGTTTGGTAATTAGATCCTACCCACAGGACATCCGACATAATCCATCGTGGTTGAATCAGAATACCTGATATAATTAGGATCAATCCATCTACCCAACCTGCTTGAATCAAGATTTAGTAAGTTAAAATTTGATTACTATATCATAAGGGGAAAGGATGGAAAACGATTAATTTTCAAACCAAAACAAACACGCTTTGAGTTTAACGGTGGATTATGCTCCCAAGTCACTGTCAATTCCTCCATCTTGACTTTAGAGGGCGATCAGTTTTTTAGCATGAAAAGGTAGATCTTGGTATGCACTGGCTACCTAAGATTCAACCCAACTAGAGGCTCGCAACCTGATATGTGCTGTCATAACCAAATTCCAAACTTGAATTTGGTGTGTAGCAATTGGATTCAGATTCAGCTATAGTCAATGGTATCTCTGGAAATTTGTATTAATGAGAATCAATAATTGGTGGGGACATTAACAAATTTTCTTGTTTAGGGCACATGACAAAAGTGATCCTTCTGTGCCCAGCAAATATTTAAGGGCCTAGTTAATTAATTATAATTTATTAAGAGTGGAAGAGTAGTTGAGATCTTGCTTTTCAGTAACTGGTCCTGCCTCTACTGTCTTTGATAGCTTGACCTAAACTCCTTTAGGCATTTATTCGGGTAGTTTTTGCCTTTGCCACCCCAGATTTAACATTCTAGAAAGAGGGATTACAGTTTAGCAAGATGTCCGACGATACTTACGTAAATAATTTTTTAAAAATAAAAAAAGATTATTTTAATATATTTTCAAATAAAATAATTAAACAACAAACATGTTTTCTCCTTAAAAAAAAAAAAAGAAGCAAGTAAATTTATTAAAGTCCAAGTACACCAAACCCATTCTCCAGTGACATGCCAGTGCTAGCTCATCAGTATGAACCGTCCTTGAAGACAAATCTCAACAATTCCATAGGACTAGTTGCTTTCACACAGCTTTGTTCTGATCCCACACATTTGGAATACTTCCAAACTGGCAAAGTACCAAACCAGTCCTCCTCATGGGAACATCACACGTTCATACTGTCCTGTAGCTTTTTAATCAAATTAAAAAAGTGGATCACCTGATGCATCTTATAACAAAATCTGCATTCCTACTGTTTTTTTTATAGAACATTAATCTCAAGTAGAATCTTTGCGCTTAGATCTGCATATTGGATCAACATCAGTGATCAAGAGTGAAAAGAATAATGGGCAAACCTCAAATTAGTCCCCAATCAATAACCCAAATTTCAATCAAGGACCCCCATCAATCATCAACAGATATAAATAGTTGAGGGACTTTTTGAGGTTTCCCAAGAAATTTGATAAGCCAAGCTACCCTCCAGATGCCATATATCAGAGGATCACCTTCGTCTCTCAGAGAAATACAAAAGGCGTGATCAAAGAATTCTTTTGATGATGAAGTTGCATTTCTCTCTTCCAAGAAAAGTGTACATGATTTCTCAATTCCTTCGATTTGTCCTGTGAGAACTAATTATCAGCTTTTTTAATTGGCAAATCAAGCCAAAGATCCACACCAGAAACACCAAAATGTTTAGAAAAACTTAATCTATATTCACAGTAAATAGATTGCTACTAAGAGAGTATATTAATCCTTACATGATGTGTTGTTTTTTTATCAAGATCACCGCTTCCTATCAAGCACTCTTTTACTTCCTACACTCTAACAATCAGAACCAAAAAATGCCTCAAGAAAACCACAGGAATCACCAGATTTTGAACCCCATTACATTACTTTTCACCTTGATCACCATGTCTTTTTCTAGTAACTTTAATATAGCAAAAAACAGCAGCAAAAGTGGCAGTGGCAAGACCACCAATGATAATACCACCAGCAGCAACAGACTTATCATATGAATGATGCTTTCCAAGCCTTCTGATCTCGGGAGCTTCAGCTTCTCTTGACTCTGTCTCTTCCTGCAGAGGACTCAATGCAGGCTTCTCTTCCGCTTCAACCCCTTTTGGCTTCACTCCTTCATGTTGAGCTTCAGATTTATCAGCCATCGCTTGAAGTACCAAGATCCCAAGAAAAAACAAGAAATAGAAACCAAATCTAGCCATACTCCACCACCAAAAACAATTAAGTGATACAGTTAGATAGCTAGAGAAGTAAGATCAGAACAGGAACTTGTTTGAGTGAGTTCTGGGCACTTGGAGGAAGCGAAGGAGATTTGTGGGCTTTATATAAGGAGAGATTTTTGTTTGGCACTGTAAGCGTGTGGGCGTGTAGGGTTGTGTGTGGCTTGAAACAGCTGAGAAGGTTCAACTCGTGAAGCTTTTTGGCAGGAGAGATAGCCTGAAAAGTTCTGTTGGTGGCGTGTTGAAACTAGGAAAGTATTTATGCAGAGGAGGCAGCTGTACCCTCATTAAATTTTAATTTTTTTATGTTTTTAAATTATTTTAATATAATAATATTAAAGTTGATTTAAAAAAAAAACAAATATTCTTCGCAGCTAACTAGAAGATGACTGGGAAGACAACTGTCTTCTGGAGGGATTTTTTTCTCGGTGACTGTTTTTCTTTATATTTTAAAAGTATTTAAAAAAAAAATTATTTTTTTAAATATTTTTAAAATCATTTTAATATACTGATATCAAAAATAATTTTTAAAAAATAAAATAATATTATTTTAATATATTTTTAAATAAAAAATATTTTAACAAATAATTATATGTGTCTTATGTTTCTGTACTTTTAGTTTTTTACTTTTTAAGGAAATATACTTTAATATTACTTAAAATTGAATATCTTTACATGGTGGTTCTTTTTAAAAAAAAACAAATAACATTATGATTCCATTACTATTAAGGTAGTGTGGTCACAATTTCAAAAGTCGCTTTCAAATGAAAAGGATTTGATTTGCGTCAAACCCTGCATGGTTTTATATTAAAAAATATTAGATAAAAAAAACTAAAACGCGTTGGCGGTGTAATATGCAATCAGCACTGTTTACATTAACAAAATAATATGGAAGATACCGTATTTTTTTTATAATTTACTTTCGATGATCTGATTATAAATGAAAACTAATTAATTTTTATTTTTTAAATAATAGTGAAATTGAAAAAAACAGATCAAAATTAAAAAGACTTCTAAAAAGGATAGTGTGCCTCTAATTAGGTGAAAAATACTTTTCGTTTTTAAACTTTAAAAATAATATAAATTATATGATATAGCTTCTTGAAATTTAAACAAAATAAGTTTTGATATAAAAATTTATTTATATTGTTATTTCAAACCCTATTTATAAAGAAAAAAAAAATTATTGAATTTTAGTGATTAAAAAAAAAGTCATTTCAAGTTATTTACAACAACCAAAATAAACTTTATTTTCCTATGTTTATAAATAGCATGAGATAAGAAAGATTTGAAGGCTATTATTATTATATTACTTGAAAAAATATATCTAAGTTAGGGAAGATAAATCTAGCTCAATTTAATTTCATGTTTTTAGACTTTTTTATATATATTTTGAATTAACGGTTTAGTTTGTGGGTGTTTTAAAATATTAATAAAATATTTTTAATTAAAATAATTTGAAAATTAGGTTTTAGGAACAAAAAAATTACTAACTCGATTTTTCAACTACTATAATAATAGCTAAAATCTAGGTTTCCAAGCAATGTATCGTCTAATAGTTTTTTTTCATAATAAATAAAGCATATCATCCTTCCATTTAAAAAATCAATAAAACAAAAAAGTTTATGCATGTAAGTCTAGGCTTCAAGGCTATTCCCTTAAGCGTGATTCTATAAACCAGCATGTCTAAGTTTTTTTTTTAGTTTTTTTTAATATAATATTAGATGTAAATTTAAGATAAACAAATATTTTATTCGATTTAGTTTGTAATTTAAATTATATGTTAAGTCACAATACTTGAACTATTATTTATTTTCTAATTTTTTATTAATATCTTTTTATAAGATAATTTTTAAATTTTTATTTTTATTGGTATTGCTAATCTGTGATTTTTTTTATAGAGAATATTAAATTATTTTGTGGTATTTAATTAGTGAACAAAATTATAAAGTTTAATTTTTTAAAAGTTGATAAGCATATATAATTTTGACTAAATTAAAGAATAAAAACTGGGTTAATTTTCATTAATTATATTTTATTTAGAGGTGATAAATATAAATATGGTCATGGATTACAGGCATGATAGCAGGTAACGAGGACCATCATGTGGCAATCTGTGGTGGCTGCCATGGTGGGATCCAGCAAAATTCCGCAGGGGCCATGAGGGCATGGCTCACCAACCGCTACAAGATACAGCTACAGATTTTGATGATGCAGAGGATAGCATCGTCACAATTTCAAAAGTTGCTTTCAGATGGAAAGCATTTGAATTCGGTCAAACTTTAGTTGCCGTTTTCTATGGAAAAAAATAGTCATAAGTCTAAAACACGAGGATAATTGAACTTCTCACAGCGTCCTATGGATTCCTTTTTAAAAAAAAATTAAAAACAAAATTATAAATATTATGTACCTTTAATTTAAAAATTTAAAAGCAAAGTTCATTTTAGTTTAAAATTTTATTTTTGTATTTTTTTATTCTGATTTGAAAGAAATAAAAGAAACACATTAAAATCCAATATTAAAAAAAAAAAGTTTTGAGTGCTCCAATTCTAATCACAAAAATAATTAATATTAATGTTAAATTATTTTATTTAATAACAAAGTTCATATTAAGAGTTTTTTACCTTGAAATCACCTCGAAAAACATATATGAGCTCAATAAAACTTTTGGTTTCGGGTTGAATTTGAATTTTAGGATGATTTTTTAGGTTTTTGGAGGACATAAGTTAATTTATCAACTTGCGTAAAATATTTTATAAATATTTTGAATAAAAAATAAAATGAAAGTAGATTTTTGGGTTGAAAAAACTGGACAATTAGATAATGTATCGTCTAATTTATTTTTTAAAATAAAATTAAGGTGTAATCCCCCCATCAAAAAAAATTAGAGCCCATGCGAGGTCCTTACTAGATAGGCCCACTCATTTAGCTTGCCAAGTCTATCAAAGCTTGAATTTTTTTAAAAAACTATTTTTAAAAATATTTTTTTTATATGTAATTTTTAAATTTATATTTAAATTAATATTATTCCTCTTTTTTGTTTTGTTTATCCTGCCTCTTTTAAACAATGATGTTTTTTAGTTATTTTGTATGTATTTAATTTTTTGAGAAATTGTTCTAATTTATCTATAATTTTTTTTATGTTTTATATAAATGAAACTTATTGTTAAAAAATTGAAAATATTTATTTTCAAATAATATTTTTAATATACATAGTCTTGCATGATATGTTTTTACCTTTTTAATTTCTTTAATCAATTTAATTTATGTCTATTTTTTATTTTTATTTAATTAAATAAAAAATTAATTTTTGTGAGAAAAAATCATTAAAAGTAACATGTAAAGATCCAAGTTGTGAGATAAAATGTTTTAGTCTATATGTAACTCTTAATTTTTTAATTTTCATTGTTAATGATTTCTTATTTATTTATTAACACAAATGATTCTGAACTTATTTTATTAGATGTATACACAATTTTTTTTAAAAAAAAAATTGATATAAAAATGCATTACAAAAGACTATATATTTATTTTTTTTATAAAATAAACAAAACACAAGTAAAATAGCTAATATAAGATAAAAAGTTGTGAAGCTCCATCGGCTTACCTTTGGTTTTATTTTATGATATATGTTGATTTTGTATGAAAGTGA